TGTGTGTGCAATTAGACATTTTTCACAGTTCTTAAATGTGCATTACAATGTTTGGACATTTCAGATCCTGCGAAGGGGGTGTGATCTAATCCCACCCTGTCCTCAGAGAAGACTCAGGTGATGTGTCTGGTGGCTTTAACTTTGGGTGTGGCAGTAAGTTTTTAATGTCTTTTATCAAACCAATATGGAAAATGTGTCATGTTTCATCTTATTTTCCAGTGTATTACTCATACAAAATAGGCGATGACAGTATTAATTGACCACCAGTTTTGTCCAGACTGCAACATATGGAAAATACATTCATGTCTCCCTTAGGAGGAACTGTGCCAACTTTAGTGATCTCTTAACTTTCATCTAGTACCCAAATACCCACAGAATAAATCACATTCCCTTAACAAGAGCACTCAGAGAGCACATGTATGTCCACCAAGGCACAACATTCACTCACACAAATGGGTCCCTTGTGAAAAATGAGATCCAGAACAACACAAAATGTGTCCTAAAATCCTTGATTCAGATTGGATCTGGATCATCTTTTCAGGTATGATAGGCAGTTATACTGTACACCTAACCTGAACATTTCAAAGTTCTGTCTTCATTATAGGCCAAGTTATGGGAGAAAATATGTGTTAAATGGGGTTTTCAATGCTAATTTTGAATGGCCATCAGATCCACAATCTGGATCAGATCCGGATGAAATTTGGTCTGGTGATAGACATGGCCACCCTACAAATACTTTTTATCATTTTTGACAGAGATATGAGTTTTTCTTTCCCCCATGTTAAAGATAGGATTTTTGTGATTCTTTTATTATCTTTTGTAATTTTGACCTTTGACCTTTTCCAGCCAACATCTAATCACTTCTAGGGTTGGCCCCCACCAATATCTGTACCAGTTATACTGATGATCCATCCAGCCATGTATCTGTAATCCTGATAACCAACACACGCACACACATACACACACACAGAACCAAAAACAAACCTCCTTGGCAGAGGTAGTTACCAGCTGTATTTTGTTTAGTGCTCATTCCAAATATTAGCATGCTAACACATGACAATAAACCTGCTAAACATCAGGATGTTAACATTGTTAGGATACTAACATTAGTCACTGCTAGTCTTAAGGCCAAGGGTTGGGTAATGCTAGAACATGTTGTCCAGCAAGATCAAGTGGCAAAAGTATTAGAGCTGTTCCAAACACCACACTGTGGGGTGATACATCTGCTATCATAAAGGCAGCAAGACAATGATCGTTTAAATATAGGAATAAGGGCATGCATGTTAAGTCAGTTTCCTCTGGAACGCATTCAGCATTGCACTCATTTGTAAACACTAAAAATGACAGCAGCAGCTGTCTTGGACCACACCTGGCCAGCTGCTGTATGACGTTCAAAGCTACAGAACTTGTCGGACACAGCCCCCTGCCATCTCTGTTGAAGTATAGACCTTTTTCAAAGAAGGTATTTTCATTTGCATGTGCTATTTCCAAGGCACAGTCCTCCAAGCTAAACCACAACATACCTCACATGTCCCTAATTTTGAAAATAACTTGGTTAATTTTAGGAAAGGATTGTGGATTGGGTTCAAGTTCCTCCTTAAGGTTACAGGACCTTCATTGTCACTGTTACAATAAACATTTGGTTAATGTTGTGGATTGGTCACAGATATAAAAAAAAAAAAACACACTGCTACTGAGTCTCATTCTGGCAGATGTCACTGTGAGGTGAAACCGGTTCAGAAATATCCATCCACATGAGTTGAGTTTTGTTTGTTGCCCATGACTGTGCTGAAGACTGTTTCTCATCATTAAGAAAACTCTCTGTCCATTTTCTGGCTTCTGCATCCAATCCTAGTTTGAATGCATAAGAATTTTTTAATCCCCTGTAAAGCCAAGAACAGGCAGTACAGTTGGGAAAATGAGTATTCAGCACATCAGTGAATTAGTGCAGTCACCTGTCCCTGTGCTTTTTCTTGCTGCATGGTCAATAAATTTTTGCTGTGTCATTCCAATTTCATGCACACTTTTGTCAATTCTTTTTATTGATTGGAATTTATTATTTCTGTTATGCCATCTTATTGAGTAAATGCCAGTGTCTGGTCTTAATTTCATATGAATAGCTTGACTGGAAAATGGCTTAATGAAAAAAAATGTTGATGTGTGGAATACTGCTTTTCCCTACTGTGAGAGCTTAACCATATTCCATTGGCAGCACTCATATTACAGCTATCAGTAATATTTTAAATCACAGTAGATTTGGCATAATGGCAGGAGCGCCCTGTAAAGGCAACCCAGTCCCCAGTGATTGTAATCTAGGAGAAATTTCCTGTAAAATTAAACAATGGTTGTGGGGAGAGACAAACATGCCTCTGGTTTCTTTGAAGTGGAGAATCAGCATCCAAAAAAAGGAATAAAAGATGACAAAATGTCAGTGTGAAGCTGATGGTCTATAGACAGAACTTACGTGCCCAGACAATTACTGAGATACATAGCATACATCCAGACGTTGTGTTTGATCTCAGTGTTTCATTCTCTTGCGTAGACAATGCACAGACAGGGTTCTCATTTTTTTTATGTGCATGTTCATCTCTGTCAGAATTCATTTAAATTAGAAATAATGTGCAGTGAGAGATCCGGATGCTGATTGTTTGGCTGTGTGGCTGTAATCATAGACTTGTGGTTTCTCTCAAATCTGATAATGACCATTTGAAAAATGAAGAACAAAGGCTCGCCGCCTCTGCTGCTGCACAAGCCTGTGAAAATGACTGGTAGCCATTTTTTGTCGGTGGCGCTCTTATAAATACATATCTTGGAGCCAGCCATGTCGTGCGTTTGAAACCAAACCTCGATATGCTCTTGATGTTTCATTGCAATCACCACTTCAAAGACAAGAATGGGTGTGATCTAATTACATGTATCTACAGTTGCAGCTAATTTTAGACATGATTTATTGCATCTCTGTTCTACTCAAGAATGAACCATTACTTTGTACAACTACATTTCATTGCAGTTATCAAAGATGTTTTCCCACAGTAACAGTAAGCCAGACACTATTTTATTAGTTGAAGTGGTTCAGCGCACAATGTATTCTTCTCAGAAATTCACAATGAGGTAATAGCAGGAGCCTTTAATTTGGACACTGTAGATTGTATGTAAAGTGGATGTAGTGTGGCACATCACCTGTTGTTTTACATGGGAGCCAGTTTGAAGCCTAGAGTTGTAGCTTACAGTCAACGCCATCTTTCCTGCTTGAAGCAAGGACCTTCCAAAATAAGGAATTCAGGCTGTTGCCTTTGTCCCCCTTTATCTCCCTCCAGCTACCTATCGAACTACAAAATGTTATGGCGCGCTCTGCTAAGTGATTTCAGCTACATGCTGAATGTTAAGACACAGTGTTGTTTGATGACAGTAAAGTCTGTCTCCCATGATATATAAAAAGGCCACATGTGCACCAGAGATGGAATCAGCTATCTAATTAACCAGCTAGCTGGTGGATGGTAGAGTACAATGTTATATACTGACTTAATACTAACATTAGCTGGAAAGGGAATCGATCAGAGCCAGGATCTGGAGTTCGTCAGTGGCACTGTACTGCAACATACTTCAACACTGGTTCCAGTCTTTATGTGTGGTAGTTGCCACTTGATGTGAGCTGCTCTTTCTGACCCTTTATGGCCACAGCCTTTTTTTTGTAAAGATGCATTCCCATTATCACAGAAAAACATCTTTTGCGTGTGCCCTGCCATTGTTGTTTGTGCAGTATACTGCACAGCCTCCGCGCAGACATCCATGGTGTGCAGCCCTATGCAGGGTTGCACTGGAGGTTCAGATGTGTTGAACTTTGACCCCAGTTGTCTTGACCTTTGTGGTGGCAGCCAGTCATTCTGTATATCAACAGTGTTCACGAGTAGTCTTGCAAAGTGCATAGATAAATTATTTTTTGCTAAATGTAAACTTCTCAGTTTAAACACAATGAGTTTGGAGAGAAGGGCTGTTGTGGCAGCTCTATGCGAGAATTAGTTTTTCCACTCTGAATCTCAGGCAACTGTAGCTATACCCCATTTCCCATGACTTTGTGTTTGTAAGGCTGGTCCCAGTCAGCCTGCGGACCCTTGGCCTCTCCGTTACCGAGGGAAGGATTACCATCTCAGCTATGAGCTAGTCTGTTTTTTGCTTTGTGGTTGCTTGGACTGAGCTGGCCAGGGAAAGACTGAGCAATGTGCCTGTACTGTACATCCACTGACCTCCCAGTCAGTGGGTTAATGCTCATTAGACACAGTATAGAATGCAAGGGTTTGCACTATTAAGAGGATTTTCCAGGAATGTCCAGCATTAGATCAAGATTTGCCAAATATGAGGGGTTGAAGCAATAAAGGGTGAATGCTGTTGCTTCTCAGGTAAATATTACTTTCAGACCTGCAGTGTGAATCTTAACAGTATAGTGTCCCACTTTCAGTCTGTGTGATCCCTTTGAAGTACACTGGGAAATAACCCATGGAGGAAGAAACTAATCCCTACTACCTTCCATAGGGTTGTTTTGTTGGGATGCTGAGCAGGCAAGCTAAAGTTATGACATAATTATAATGTTGGTCTTAGTGAGTTTTTTCTGCAGGTGGAAAATTGTCAGGTTTTTTAGGTAGGCCTATGTCAGGGTCATACAGGGAGCTCAAAACTCAAACTGAGGGCCAAATAAGTGTTTGTTATATTATAAGATGACCTGCCTTCAGGTCAGTGGAGTGGGAGTTGATCAGGAAGACAGTGTCTGTGGGCTGCCAGGAGGTGCGTGCTGCTCATAAAGAACCGTTTTGTTTTTCCTCCCATCACGGTTGCAGCACCCTATTGGGGAATTCATTAGCGGCTGACATCATCTCACTCAGTACTGAGTGAAAGAAAGAATATCTTTCTGTCTCAACCCTCCCCTCCCTCCCTCCCTCCCTCGCTCTTTCATTTCTCTTTTTCTCTCTTGTTCTGTCGCTCTCTCTCGCTGCCTCCTTATCTAGCTCTGGAGCGCTGTTCTCGCTCCTTTTGCGCGCCATTTACGCAAAAGATAAACGCTCTAATGTGCGCTTCTGCAGTCGAGCTCCAAGCTGTTCGGAAGCTCAAAACACGAGTGTTTTGACTTCAGAAGGATCAAGACTGAGGTTGAATTCATGTCCGCATGGAAATCAGGAAGTAGGAGGACCCGACTGTGAAGGCAGCGGCAGCACTCAGGCAGGCATTCGCTGGATGAATGGGAGTTTGTCTGCTGCTTGGAAGCGGATGGGGAGAGGCTCTTGCGTGCCCACGACCGGGATCCGTCAGCGAGAGAACGACACAGGCTTTGCAGCTGAACGCACAGCGACAGCAGGCTTATACCTCGTGAATTTCTGCCCAATGTTAATGTGATCTGCCTCCGTCACTGTCTTTACAGAGGAAACTGGCCGTGCGCTTTGTTGGATTGGTTTGCTCCGTCGGACCTAGCCCCTCTCTGCGCACCGACACATAAACCCTCCCGGATCCTGTTTGTGACCTCTCACGGATATTTCGGCAGGAGAATATATGTGAGAAAAATCAGTGTCCCGAGCAAGAAAAGAGAAGTGGCTCAGGGGATTTTTCCTCGTCGCCCCAGTGCTGTTGCAGAAGCTCTCCCTGACTAGACACATGTTTCCCTTTGTCCAAAAGGCGCAGTAGCTTTGTGAACGGCTTTGGGATTTTTTTTTCCTTGGAAAGGCTTCTTCTCTCCCCGCATGGCTGTTCTCAATTTAAACGGAGTAGACTTCGCCGCCCCTTGTGTGGATTATATTATTTGAAAAGCAGAATGTGAAACGAGGCCATATTTATCAGACCGAGAAAGTAATAACCTGACTTATTGCTTTCCCCCCCTAACCTTTCCACATCAAAGGTATGCACGCTGACTCTGAGCTGCTTATAATTTAAGATTTATTTATCACTGTGTTTTATAATAGTAACATTTTCATGCCACCTTATTCTCCAGTTTTCATTGTTTACATTTTGCCAACTAATGTAGGCGTCGATCTGCACTGTTTTCAGATTATTTTGATTTTGTCACAACAATACTTGGCTTCTCCTGCAGCCATAATAACAGGCATACATCGGGATAAAAACGTGTGTGAATAAAACAAAGCTGTGACTGGGCGCAGATTTTTAGATATTCCTGTCAATAAGGTTATACGGTCACCAGAAAACATAAACTTGCTATTAAAGTGCAAAGCCTTTGCATCCCATGGTTCAGAATTTAGCCTTATATAAATTCGAGGTGAATGGATGCACAAAGCGACTAATCAGAAATTCATTTTATTCAGAGAAACCTGTCAGTCTGGCTCCCATGTGCAGCTACACGGGTGGTGTCCGGTTTCTTTCCTGTCCTAGCAACCTGTAGTTACTTTGTAATATAATAATATTTCCCCTAAATGTTGTTGTCGAAATATAATTTATCTTTGACTTGGTGTTTTCACATATATAAGCTTTTTATGATCGAATTCAGGTTTTCCTATCCCTGCACGTTTGATGCTGTGGTGCTCTGAGTGGAAAGGGTTTGTTGGATCACGGAGCAACAGTGCCATCAAGTGGCCTCAATGTGCCGACTGATATCTAGTACTGGTTCTGATAATGATGCTGTTGAGGTACCCGAATAATTCTGGCTATAATTGGATATGATAGGGTGCACAGACTGTTCTGTCCTAAAGGGGTTTAAATGTGATATAACATTTTATTTTAGTAAATTTGAGAGCAACACTCAGGTACAGGTTGCCTGAGGTATATCAAAACCACATCTTAAAAACCTTACTGGGTGAAATCAGGTTTAAGGTTTACTTTAAAACAGCAAGTGACTTATGCTTAATTATTTACCATAAGCTGATAATGTTTCCTCAGCCAACAGCTACTGCTCTGAAATGTTTTCCACAATTGTTAGCTACTATAGGTGTGTGTTTGGACACTGGAGAGAGACAATAATACATTCAGGTCCGGCAATTTTGTGATATTCTGCTCATTCCATTTTCCTCTTTTCCAGGTCTCCAATGCTGGCTCCGAAAAGTTTTTCAGCACAGCTGCAGTTAAAGGTATAGACATTATTTTTATATATTTTTTCTCCACTTTTGAAATGACGCCAGTATGATGGTGCTGGTGTATTTCCATCCTCCTGGTATTATCACCATGTGGAAATTGGTATGCAATGTCCAAGTGCAGTGATTGGCATTGTTATGAATGGTCTTTTAAAGCAGTACATCACATTCTTACACCTGATCCAGTTTCTCAGAGATGCACCTGTATGATGTGCTGCTCAGTGCAGAGTTATAAAAAAAATCTCACTCTGCCAGTAGTCATCAGATGGAATCATTAAAATATTAACTGTCATGATTCATGTGCTCTTTTTCTATTTTGTAATATGTGACATGGAATGGTGTGGAACCAATGTAACGTTTTTGTTACAAATGTGCTGAAATGTCCTAGAACTTGTACTGCAGTCAGAGGAGGAGGATGTACTAATGCTGCGGGGAATGAAGTGAAGACAGAAAAGGCATCTGTCTGTGGCCTCAGTGTGCCAGCACCACATGTGACCTCATTATCAAGTCACTAATTTGCTGTTAAAAGCAGGTCCATTTTATCTGGCTCAGGGATAATAATGGAGGTTCCCGGGATGAATGGACATTCCTCTGTAATGGTGAGGAGTTACCATGCAGGGCTGGAGGGAAGCTTGGAAAAGAGGGTTATGACCCCTTCAGGGCTGTGTCAGAAACAGGGCCGACTGCTGATGATAGGTCCTCCTCTCCTCCTTGTTTTTCAGCACTTTCCTCTGCACAGACCTCCAAACATATTTCCCACATTCTAGCCTTTGATTCCCTCCAGAGCTTGATTTGCAGCGTGCGTGGTGGTGGTGGTGGTGGGGGCAAGCTTGACAGGGAGGTTTCCTTTTGAACGTGCTTCTCTGTGAACTTATTTGATTCCCTTGAAAGGATTAAGGCCCCTTTTGTGTGGCCTAAATCAACACAAGGTCGCCCTCTTTCACCCTCTGTGAAAAGACCTGACTGGGGAAACAGTACACTAAATGCGCTTTCTCTCGTCTGCATGATAGTCCACTCGCTTGGCCCCTATTTCCATCTAAATATCCCCTCTTTTCTTCCCTTTTACCATCTCCATCCCCTCCTCCTTTCCTGCCATATGCTAATGCCTGCCGCTATTGCAAAAGACGTGTAAAAGAATCCAGGTGCAGGGAGCGCATGGACTACTGGTATTTTTCTGGAGGGTGGTGTTGAGATTAAAAGAGTCGGGTGGGTTTTTGTTGAAGGGGATTACCGGCACTCAAACGCAACCAAACATCAGAACAAACAATAGCTCCCACAAAAATTGCTAAAAAGGCTCGCTTGTGGGACAGTGAGTGTCATTATTTGCCTAAAGGCAGGTGCAGAAAGTCTCCATTTGTTTGACGGTTGGTGTATTTTCTTGTTGGTACACACAAAATGCTTATTGGGGTTTAGAGTTCAGCATAGGACTGAGAAGGTCATGACAGCCCCCAGTAAAGCAGCTGGTATTTTATTTCAGTTTACGCCATGAAGAACCAGTTACAGCTGAAGCTGTGTTGATGCGGCAGAGAAGGTTGCACAGCAAGTCAATGTTTTGCAAATGCTCAGACAGTCATCTTAAGAACACAACTTGATTTACATTTAGTAAAAGATCTGGTAAAGATATAAACATTCCAAATATCAAATGTAAAAATTGTTTTTGATGATGAAATAAGAATTGAATTGGCACACAGCAGCAGAAATACACATAATGACATCACATTTATAAGACAGAATGTTTATGTTTATTATTCAAAAGTTTTTTCCAGACAAAGAGCCATTAGAAGAAGAAGCTTTATTTTATTGTCACTGTAACACGTACAATGAAATTTGGTTTGGAGCCGAGGGCCCTGTGCCGCTGCGTGCATACGCGCCGCCATCACAGGCAACTTAGGGGGTTCAGTGGGGTTCAGCCCAAGGACACTTCGACATGTGGACTGCAGGCACCGAGATTCGAAGCTGCAACCTTCCAGTTGGGAGACGACTGCTCTACACACTGCACCACTGTCGCCTCCCATTATTGTTAGGTTCAGGTTTAGGTTTATTGTCACGTCCATACATGGCATACTGTACATACAGGGTGATTCAATACAGTTTCTTATGGACTCCAGTGTAACAGGGACAGACATAAGGACTAGTGCAAAATAATAAATGGGGCAACAAATAAAATAATCCCAGAACTAAAACCTGTAAGCTTTTATGATATTGAGGAACATGTGGATAAGCTGTGTTTTACTCATAAACTGTATAGAGGACAGAGATGTCCCGATGACGAAGTGGAGACGCTGCTGTAGGTTCTTGGTGAGTGCTGTCACATGTGAGGTCCAGGAGAGCTCCTCTGTTGTCTGCACTCCCAGGAACTTGTGCTGCTGTACAGCTGTGCCATTGATGGTCAGCAGTGTGTGGTCAGCTTGTGTCTTCCTCAAGTTTATGATAACCTCCTTCATTTTCCCTATATTTAGAGAGAATATTGGTCTTGCACCATGCTGCTGTTAGGTCCACCTCTTATCTAGAAGATGTTACTGATCTCACATCACAGGGTTTCGTCTGGTTGTGCTGCTCTGTGAGGATCATGTTGTTAGTGCATCTGGAAAGGAACCATTATTGTCACAAGTCTGTTACAGTCCTTAATGGCATAAATGCCCTTTCACAAGCACCATGTTTCATTGCTGGTGGCAAAGTGGCCAGTTATGCATTCGTCATCAGGAACTGCTTCTTTAAACATAATCCAATCAGTGCCTTTGAAGCAACAATATTCCAATCAATGCTTCTACCTGCAATCAGCCTACAATAACAGGAGCAGCCAACAGAATGGCTGCGAATTCACAATCATAAACTCCATTTGCAGAGAACAGTGGGGTTATCCTTTAGCCCAGCCCACATACCTCACAAATGCCATATTTTCAGTCCTCTCCTACCATTGGTGCTCTAACCTGAGCTACAACACTGGGGCTTGTGAAGCATCACTTACCTAGACTCTGCAATTTGTATGAAGGCACTAGAACCTAATAGTTTGTAGTCACTCTACCAATCTACCTGAAAATCCTGGATGTTGTAGCTGAGTCTTGTAGCTTAAAAGGTGTTCTTTTTAACAGGTCCACAAGAGGCTGCCGTGGCTATAAGTTATAATAGTGACTGATTGGAGAAAAGGTATGGCATAGTTAATATACATTAAAACCACAGAGCGATGAGAAGATATTTATTTAATTCAGCTGTCATGTTTCTCTGTAGCAAGACTGTAAATCAGCCCAGGGCACCCTCAGATCTCTTTGAAGACTTAGCACTGATCTTTTAATTTCACAGCTTTCTCACCTACTCAGTACTTACAGTGTATTTTTCATGCTCTCTGAAAAACCATAGTGCTTTTTGTTTGTTTGTTTCACCTCAGGCCTACACTGCATTTTAAATAGAAAATCCAACTGATAAAGATGCAGCTTTTGTGTTTTCAGATGTTGATGTGTTTTCTTCCTCCGTCGCCTTGGGGGCATCAGTGTCAAGTGTGCATAGTTGTTTCATGCGAAGCCTGAAGGCACCGTCCCTCTTCTGCTCTCCTCTCTGTTTTCCTCCCTCCATCCTGCTCACTCTAGGTTCAATTTGCCCAAGAATCGATTACATTAACTAAGAGTCATTAAATGTTAGCTCTAAATACTGCAGGTGTCAATGCATCTGCAGGTGTCAGCTAGCTAACCCAATTCATTTTGTCTGCAGGAGAGTAAGCAGCAGTAAAAAGCTGAGGCATAGTCTACTGGCCACCAGTGAAATAAACAACTTTTCCAAAGTTTAAGCTGCTTTCAAGGTGTTGTGGGGTGGAAACTGTGAGTGCTTTCAAGAAAGTGGACTGAATTGTTGTGTTTCATACAGATAATTATGGCTAACCAGCACAGTACGTCACCACGGTGGCCTGCAGACAGAGGGACATTCCCATCCTTCATAATTCTGTCAATCCACAAGCCCACCTGTAAGACTCAGCCAACTGTGCATTTTTGTTAAGCAGCAAGATTAAGATAATACTTTAAAAGCTCCACAGTGCCATTTGTCAAAAGTAGAGCTACAAATATTCTCATCAGTGAATCGTTGGTTCTGGTATGTGTCTCTATATATGTATTACTTATTTTTGTAAAAACACAAAAGTAATGATACAATAATTGGTATTACAGTCCTAAAGCATTTTTAATTGCCTTCGCCACCAATGTCACATTTACACACAATTAGAAATTACTTTTTCATGTGATTTTCAGTTTAAGAGTGTACCAAACCAGATTTTTTTTCTGGCAGATATATTGGAGAAGCTATTCCCAAGTGAGACATCTCCTGCAGCTGTGTCTATGATGTGAGAGCGAGTTCAATGTGAGGGTAAACTGAAGTGCACAGTGTAGTGATTCTCAGTTTCCCCACTCAGCACAATGCTGATTTCACCATGCTTTACTGGAGTTAATGTGAAAATGAAGCGGTGCTACAGCAAGACCCAGGGCTCACACCAGCGTGAAGAGCGCCGCTGGTGAAGTGTGTCGAGCTTGAGTGCATCTGTCACCAGGGGAGAGAATAATGTGCGATGTGGAAGGTGTAATTTGTATTGCTGATGGCATTGTATAAAAAAATAGTGGAAAGAGAAAAGTGGAGGTGAACTTTTGTGGCAGATATCAGAGCTGAAGAGCTCCCTGGATTGTCATAGAGAGCTCTGCTGGCAGCAGAATTGCCTGTGAGCATATTACTGCTGTGTGGGTGGGAACTGAGGGCTTGTTTTTCTCTATCTGCCTCATTCTCTCATGGTTTGCTGAGAGAAGGACTGGTTATAGAGCTATGTATACTTCCAGGCTGTGGGCCGGCACCTGCTGTAATCTCATGTGATACAGAGAACAACAATCATGTCACAAATCACCAAGGCAGCTCTCTAACTCATCCACTGGACTGGAAAGAGAAGGTTGGCCTTTCACAGCACCAGTTTTGGCTTACTGCCTCGGGCTCCCTGCACTGTCCGTGTACTGACCTCTGCTGTCTGT